CAGGTGGCAACCTATCACGGTACCACGCTTGAATTCACTGAGCTCCTGAGAGCGACCCATTCTTTCACAAATGTTTGTAGAAGCAGTCTGCATGCCTAGGTGCTTGATTTTATACACCTGTGGCCATGGAAGTGATTGGAACACCTGAATTCAGTGATTTGGAGGGGTGTCCCAAAACTTTTGGCAATATAGTGTACCTCTTCCTGAAGTACTTAAATTAGCATTTAAAAAAATTTTGTTGTCTGTAATGCTTCTCTTACTATATTACCTCCCCAAAAGAGTTTTTAGACTGATGGTATTCTTAGTCCGTGACCTAGTGAACCAGTATCAGGATGTATTTATTGATAGACACTTCAAAGCACTTCTGTAAGTTGCTCTGGCTAAGGGTGTCTGCCAAATGATGTAAATGTAAATAAATCACTGGTCTGCATATTTGATTTAGCACAGTTTTTATATTGGATGCCCCAATTTTATCCAGGCTTGGGACCAGCACTGGGAATGCACTGTCCTATGAAACCCCAGTGGCTGGGGTTGGTTCCCTGGCCGGGAATTGTACTTGGGTCGCAGCGGTGAGAGCACCAAGGCCTAACCACTAGTCCTCCAGGGACCCTGAATGTGGATGATGCAGTCCATGTATATAAAGATTTAGGGTTCCTTGGAGCACTTGTTTAGCTTTTTTTCTTAATTAATTGCCAGTAGTGGGTATATTATACTAAATTATACTTTAAAACAACACAACAACAACAAAAACCTCCACTTTTGACTGGCAGTGTATATGTTTTTATTCCATTCTCTAGATTCTTTAGCAACTTCTTTTTGAATGTTTTTTTTTCTATCCACTTAAAATAGAAATGAACCTATAAGAAGTTATTTGACTTCTTAGTCAGGTAATAACTAAACAAACTGAAAGGTCACCATCTTTCCTCTTGTCTTGTGGGAAATTTTAGCACAGTGCAGCACTGCCATCTATTGGTAGCTAGGGTTATTTGGACGATGGCAGCATTTTAGAAACGAATTAAGAAATTCAAATCAGAAAAGTCTTATTTGAAAAAGTTGGATCTCATTTTCTAGGGAGAAAAACTAAATGCACACTGTCAGTTTAAGCTATAAAAAAAAGTCCACCCTTTACAATTTTGCTATTATGCGCAAGGCTATAGTCATGTTTGCAATGCTGGGTCTCCAGCAACAGTTTGTCTCCATTTCCTCTGTCCTCCAACCTTGCGCAGATGTCTCTGCATCAAAACATTAAATTTAATTAAATTTAATTTTATTTGTATAGCTCTTTTAACAATATGCTTTGTCGCAAAGCATATTGAACAAGCCAGTTGACAGTGACAAGGAAAAACTCCCTAAGATAACATTAGGAAGAAACCTTGAGAAGAACCAGACTCAAAAGAACCCATCTTCTTGTGGGTGATACCAAATAATGGACTAATAAATCATTACTCTTCTACAACTGTATACCATAAAGTGAAGCAATGTATAATAAGAGTAAGTGCCCTAGGATGGAAAGTCTTTATGAATACAGCAATAGTTCTTTGATATAAATCTAGAGAATGCATGTGAGATTATCCACTAAAGCACTGGGGAATCTTGGGCATGACCTTTTTTTGCAAGAAAGCACAGCTAGATGTACAGTAGGTGGAGACATGTCTCCTTTCATCTCCCCCAGCATCAGCAACACCAGGTAAGGTCTGGCTGACAATGACAACAGGCAAACCTTAATGATTAAATTCTGTGCATGTATTTTTATTCATGTGTAATTGAGTAGCAAATTCATTATTTGTGGTATGTTCACATGCCTGTCTTTCATCTGATTTTTTTTTTAAATCTCAAACAAGAATGCAGTCTTCAAGGTGGTAATCACCATCCTCCATCACTATTCCTGTATCTTCAACAAGACAGCAAATGCAAACTCACAAGAGTGATTTTCATTTTGCAGTGGTTGACAGTCACAAAATATTGCAGATAATTACATGTTTGTAAGCAGTGACACATTAGTTAGCATTAGTCATCTTGCTATACAGTGCCTTGCATATGTATGACAACACCTTAGAATATACTCTCCACAGTGAAGCATGGTGGTGGTAGCATCATGGTGAGCATTTCCCTTGGTCTCTTGGTTGCTTCTCTGACTAATGCCCTCCTGACCTCCTCACTGACATTTAGCTCCTCTAAGCATAGTCACGGTTGTTCCATATTCTTTACTTTTTTAATAATGGATTTAATGTCACCCCATGGGATGTTCATAGTTTGGAACATTTTTTTATAACCAAAACATGACTTATACTTTTCCAGAACTTTGTTCCATACTTGTTTTGATAGCTCCTTGGTCTTTATGATGCTGTTTGTTTATGTATGTACTCCAGCAACTTCTGGGGTGTTCCAGGAAAAGGTGTGTTTATATTTAGATCATGTGACACTTTTGCACACATGAGGACTCCAGTCAGCAATGTGATTTCTGATAGCAACTGTTTGCACCAGAACTAAACAAGGGCTTTCTTACCAATGCGGGTGAATACTTTTGCAATATTTATGCGAAAAAAAATTTAATTATTATTTTTTTAAATTTGTAAATAATTTTGCAAACTGTATTGCATTTTCTCCCCACTTCAGAATTAAGCAATATTTTGTGTAGATTCATGACAAATAACAGTATAACCTAAAAAAAAGATTGTTCTTCAAGAAGCCTACCTTAAATCTAAATAGAGCCAAGCAATAATTTGCCAAATGTAAAAATATCTCTTGTTACAAAATGTTTGTAACAACAAAATTTTGGTCTGACATGTTTTCTGACATCCCTTCTTTGGGATTACTTTTGAAATTAAATCTGACATCTTGAGTTTGTTGAAAAAAGATAAGCCTTTTAGTCTATCCTGTCTGAGGATTGAGTGTAGTGTGCATGTTTTTTTTGCCTTGTGGTTTGCCTGAGAGGAGACACATCCGTACCCCATGGAATCTGCCAGCTTGTCCAGATTAATCTTCTCAGTTAACGGTCAGTTAACTGTATAGTAAACTGTCTGGCTTTATTATTGAATAGAAACATGTAAAAATTTAACAGAGTTCGAAAATATCTTTTCTAACACCAGCTAGTTAGACCCAGCTAGCACAAGCTAGACAGTGGCATGACTATGTACTCACATTGTAAATCCTCATCACAGGCAAGACAGATATCTTTCTGACATTATATGTCATATAAATTTGTTAGCTTAATCACACGGGTATCTGTCATGGTACTTCAAGCAGGATTGTAGGCTAGCTAGTGGATTTTTTTAAATCATCAAACACTTAAAAGTCGTTAGACTCAAACAAACCGTATATAGAACGTCAAATAAAGTTAAAAATCGCTAACATAAGTAATCATTTGAGAACTACAACGATAACAAGCTACTTAAATTTGTAGACAAAGTTGGCTGAGAGTTCGTCCGCCATTTTTTCGAGCTGAGAGGCTTCAGAAAATATGACGTCATTTCCAGTAAGGGGACATAGTGAGCATCGATGCTCCCTGGTTTTTGCGGTGCATTGTGGGATTTTTTAGGGAGTGAACGTTCCAGTGCACTGGAAGGTTTTTGTGATTGATACAGTCCTTAAAATGGCCGACTCCCTGATCAGTGCCATGACTACTGAACTAGGGAGCTGACTGAAACACACCCATAGTTTTTAATAAACTTCAAAAACAACACTAAGATGCTCCTCACACTTGTATATATATATTTTATTTGGTAATTAGATTAGCCAGCTAATTCTTGTCTTTTCAGTTGAAGGGTAACAAGACCTAACTTAGACTACTTAAAACCAGCCATATTCTAGCAAGATAATTTAGCTAGTTAGCTACCATTCTTTCTTAGATAACAGGAAAATGAAAATAAGTTCTTTTAACACATAAATGTTCTGTTATTTCTATCATCCATTAACATTTCTTAAATATCTGATTACATTAAGGCTTTTGAGTTTGCACAGTCTAATTATATTGAACAAGCAGTAAAAAGTTTGCTCAATTTTAGCTAAATCATGTTTAAGGTAAAAATGTCTTATCCATGGCAATGAGATTCTGAGGTAGTTTTAGCTGAAGAAGTTATGATTCATTGGGACAATCTTACTTTATTAGTCAACACAACAGTGCAGCTTGCTCGGCAAACTAAGATTCTGTCATTTCAAAAGACTAGCTTCTTGGTTTTATTAAGTATGCAATGTTATGCATGTTTAATTAGATAAAGCCTCATTTGTGTAAATAAAAATAAATATCTGTAAGAATGTCAGCCGGCAAAGCTTTATTGTGATATAAAATAAACCTTATTCACCTGTAGTGTCTGCATGGAAAAGAATTAAATAAAAAAAAAAAATAAAATAAAATAAAAATAATTAAAAATTAAATTAATACCACAAATAATACCACAAATAAAAAATAAAATATCAAATCACAAAAAGATCCAGTACTTAATACACCATATGTATTAATTATTCTTTTTTTTATTATTATTATTTATTTATTTATTTATTTTTTCAGTTTACTTTTCCCTTATGAACGCTTACAATCTCACTTAATGAACTCCTTTTCACTTTACTATTGTATACATACAATTCGCCTTCTGTTGCTCGCGCCTAGTTACGGTTGCTAAGCTGCGATTGGTCAAATGCCCTCAAGGGGCGGGGCATAACAAAGGGGTCAGTTTGTATTTAGTCTTCGTGACGTAGAGCGGGAAGCGTCTGAGAAGGCAACACCAGTAGGCGGATTAAACTTGGCTAGCATTAGCACCAAGGACTTGGGCACATGAGAATTCCAGTGAGTATTTTTTTTTTCTTTATTATTTTTTTTGCTTTACAAGTAAAATAAAGTCTTAGCGTACTGACGTGTCTCTGCTTAAAGTGTAACTTAACACAGACAAAACAGTTTTGAACTGACTGGTGCAGTTAAAAATAGGCTGAACCCCAAACGCCTTCTTACTCCCTGTAGAAGCGCACTATGTAGAGCATACAATAGTGGGCATTTACGCTTTTGTAGTGCACTCTGTGTTCGGTTGGGAGTCATTTGGGATTCAGCCGACGTATGTAAACCCAACAGGTGTTTTTAACGCATATGGACATTGAGTGGGAAAAAAGGGGGAAAAGGTATCACAGTCAATCTGTGCTAGTTGATTATTGATAGTCTAGCAACTTTTTCAAAAATGTACATTTATTTATGCAAATGAGGCTTCATGAACGAGGCTATGCATAAATATGCATAAATTTGCAGACTTAATAAAAGCAAAAATCTAGATTTTGGATGATGTTGGAGATTAAAATTTCACATTTATTTCGAGTGGAAAGTTGAAATAAAGTTTGCTGGGAAATATTTTTTATTATATAAAATTAAATATGAAAAAAAAATCTATAAATAGTGAAATTTTCAGTATATGATCCAACAATAATCAGCATTTTGGGAAAATTCCTCTGTAATAAGTCTCTTAATTAGGGGATCAGAGGACAATATTAAAAATATGATATACATATCATAATGATACATATCAGGAAACGAGCTTTTCAGGGATATATGACACGAAGTGATTGCGCTAAGGGGGCGGAGGTTAAAGTCTTACTCAATGTTTTCAATAATGCGTTGGGGTGAAA